AACAGGGGCGCAGCGCCCTCATGCCTTGGCCATGCGCCCCCTTACCCTTAGCAGATCCTTGGCAACCATAAAATTTTGATTCACCAGGGATCACATGTGGCCTGTCTGATAGTAATTTTGGCCCCAAGGAAGCCATATAATGCTTCATTTCAATATAGAATTATCAAAAGCTCCACACCCTGGTAGGGAGAACCCTATCTCCCCCACTTGGTGGCACCGCTGAATTGCAGTGCTCCCTCTTGCAGTTTTTTTTCTAGAAAAAACAAACTGAAATCCATAGTAGTCAAGTAGTGGGCCACTAGTTACTGAAAATGGTAGCTCCGGGACAAGATTTAGTAGTCTGTTAGTCTTTGTCTTATGTTAATTTTCATTTTATTTCTGACTGTAAAATGATCACACAAGTTATAGTAAAACTTTTGCAGGAAATCAAGTGAATTTCTCATTATGATCTCATTCTTTTTGTTATACAACAGATTAATGATGCCTGATGATGCCAACAATTCTGGTAACGTACACGGAGGTGTTATACTTAAGATGATTGAAGAAGCTGGTGCCATAATAACAACAAGACATTGCAATAAAAATAGGGTGAGTAGAATTATAAGATGATAACAGGTGAAATATTCACTGATGTTAACTCACTAGTTTGTGATGAAAACAATACATTCCTTAGTTAAGTGGGAATATTCACTGGGGTTTAAATTTCCACGACACAGGGGCATCAAAGGCAATTGCCAATTTCTAACACAAGTCTGATCCCTTAGTTTCAGTACTCCAGTGAGACTGGTAGAAAGGTAATATATGAAATGATTCTTAAAGAGAATTTAAATGTAACTTTTAAAGTACTGCTATATTCCACTACATTTTGTAAAATTAATTTTGTTATAGGCCATTTTCCATTCATTCAAGATCCCACAGGACAAAAAAAAATGTCATTGTGTCATAGTGACACCATACATGTATGTTTACATTTTTTCCAGCTAGCATGCCTAAGTGTGATAACAAATGTCGCTTGCTGATCAACATAGGCTAGCGATCTACTTTGATAACATTGCCTATAAGTTGTTTTATATTAACAGGAACACATACATGTATATTCAATAACAACAGCAGTGAACAATGCCATTATTTTATGAAACAACAAGGGACTGTGGGCATGAATGCCATTGTTGTTTTCATTTTGCATATGACCAGTAATGTCCAGATATTATGAGGTTATTAGGAGGATACTGCAAAATATGTACAAAGACAGTACAGTGGGAGTATTGACCGAGTTGCAGCCAAGGTCGATTCAACCGCATACTTTCGGATAACCTTATTCTTATACATCTTTTCCTCCCAATGATACATCATGGGAATGCCAAAATCCAAAAAGTTTGGAAAGGATTTACCAAACTTCTTTGTGTGGGGTCCAGTCAAACTTAGTGCTTGGGGCTTCAACTTTTTTTTTCATCATTAGAGGACGCTTATGCACGTAATCATTCCAAATTTGAAATTCACATTTCCTAATATGGTAGGATGCAAATACCTAGTGCAATACTACAAAATTCAAGAGATGGCATAATAATAAGCCAAGGTGGTAATTACGCAAATTATTTAAAATCAGACATGGCAGTGACTGAAAATGTTACTATTGTATGATTATAGGGAAAAACTATAATCATTGCTATTTCTGATTTCAAATAATACAAAATAATATGATATGTATTGTATTTTATTATTAATATGTCAACAATGGAAACTGCATGCAATAAATGTATTATTATGACAAGATAAATGGTAATAACATATTTTCAGGACCAATCAATAGATCCGTGTATGACAGCCCTTGCCAGGGTGGAAAGAACTGATTTTCTAAAGCCGATGTTTATTGGTGAGGTTGCACAACTCCATGCTGAGATTTCCTATACATCTGAACATTCGCTGGAGGTGCAAGTCATTGTATGGGCTGAAAATATTCTGGATGGTAAGCAAATTTGTAACTAGTCTAGTAAGTTCACATATAGTTATAAGTGAAAGGCTACTCATATCATCTACTTTCCTAAAAATAGACAGTTGTTGCTGAAGATATTACACAAATTCTTCTATTTGCAATAGCAGATCAAATTTCACATTTTCTTATTAAATGTCTAAGACATCCACAACCTGAAGGGGGTATTTGTACATGAATAGACATACACCTATAGATATATTACAAAAGTATGTTCAGTTACCAAAATGTCATAAAATATATTTTATTCAACTTTATGGTTTGTGTATGAATAAAAAAAAAAAATATTTTGTAAACCTTAATGCCTACAACATAGAATAAACTTGTTTGGTACAAAATTGATGCTATTATAGTCAAATATGTGATTTATCTTATATTCGCATTGCCTAATAAAGTTGGTGAAGGCAGATACCTTGGTTGATTGTTGACATTATGTTACTAATTCAAGTCTCTCTTGCTTAAGTATTTTTTTTGTTTGCTTGTATATAGGTTCCAAGAGGTTGACAAACCGTGCTACCCTATGGTATGTGCCACTCTCTATGGTAACAACTCCAACACCTAATAAAGTAGTGCCAACAGTACCAAAAATGATATATACTAACCCAGAGGCTGAAGAACAGGGTAGAAAACGATATGAAAATCAGAAAGATGAACGGGACCGATTTGGCAGAGTCACTAGAACTATAAGTTATGATATAGGTGAAGTAGATATGCTGAGAACCTCAGGTTAGTGTCCAAAATGATGTTGAATTAAGACTATTGTTCAGTTTGACCAAAAGGCATGTTATAGATGTTTTGTAAATCCAAATAGCAGTTGAAATACTGATTGACCAATCAAGCAAAGGTTTCATAACTTTCTATAAGAGGGTGAGCCCCTGTTGCATACAAACTATAAGGTCATGTAGCAGTCCAAATCTAGTAAAATCGTGTGAATTGCGTCCTGCGCGGTGCTCCAAACCCTTCACAAGCCTGACAGAACGGTGTAGTTTTTCACTTCCCCCGACGATTTGTTGTCAGTACCAATCAAATTGCAGGAATGTCATAGTGACAGCTATCAAAGAGTAACAATTCACAGCAGAGTTTATTTGTTGACAAAATGTGTGATAAGGTGCTGGCAAATGTCTGCCCAATGTCTTGAACAGTCTGTGATTTTTGCCATCAATGCAAACATGCATGGCTTTGTCCCTCTGGTTGCACAGGAAAGACACGTATGTAGCCTGACACGGTTGCTCGAGTTGCGCCCTCCATGAGGTGTTACCATGACCACCAAAATGAATATTCATAGAAACTCATTGCAAGAAGGCGTGAACTTTGTCAATTTGCAGTATTGATCTTGCCGACAAGACATACTGGTACACTATTCTGTCAGATGTTATTGGGGTCTTATGCCGTTTGGCCGGTGAGGGCCCCACTCACAACTGCATATTAGACTTATAACATTTGTATTATATTCATTTATGACTATTTTGAAAACCATAAATAAATTTAAACTTAAAGTTAATTTAAATATCGAAATTGAAAAAAAAAAACATTAAAAAAAAAATTGAAGCCTATACCTTCATCTGATTTTAATCAGATTGGTAGCAATCCATTTCACTTTATCTTAGAATGTGAAGTTGCAAGTTTTGTACAATTAAAACATGCTTCCCTTTTCTTATGAGTGTGGATTTTTCTCGCTAGTATTTATTTGAAATGATAATCATAACCTTTTGAACCCAAATTAACATCACCTATTCATATAATTTATATAGTAATAACTTTATTACACTACTATGCCATCAGAGGGCGCAGTATGGTAAATAAAATACAAATCATAAGAAAAAATACAGTAGCTAAACTATAAGATAAAATTAAAATTAAAAGATGTTAAAAGCTTAATAGGAAAAACAAATTAATGATAGTTACAGGATTCTCCCAATGTAGAGGTGATAGCTATCATATACCTGATTTCTGTTTTGCCTCATTTAGAAACTTTGCCAGGGGTATGAAGCACGTCATTATTTTAATGAAATTGTCTGTTTTATTTAGTTTATTTTTAATTCCTATTTCTTGAAACAGCTCCCCTCTTTCTTTATCGAGAAATTCACAATCTAGGATAAAATGTTAAAATGAATAATATATAATTTATAGTATAGGTTTATGTCAGGTTTATAGGTTTATGTCAGTCACTGGACATGTGAGCTGAATAGTTTCTTTTATTTTATTAAACTGATAACCAAAGGCCAAGACTAGTGTACAGGCTTCAAAAAAAAGAAAAAACTTGTTATATTATTTTCTTTCAAAAAGTTTCTGATCATCAAACTAATTTGCATAATTTATTTTTCGAAGAGTTTTCCAATAAAGGCTTGTCAATATGATAATAGGTATGAGTTTATCACACAAGAATACCACAAAGTATGCTCCAAGATAATATCAGTACTGCCTTGAATGCAGTTTTGGCAATATATACAATTCAATGAGAGATAACAACCCAAAATACCAACAAAAGTACATTTTGTACCACCAAGTGTTTGTACAATCATCTGCATTCAATGTTCGAATTTTATTTGCATCATATGCTTCATTGTTGATATGTTCAATCACAATCCCTCTATAGTTACTGAGGTTCAATCTTAACTTATTCCCTGAAGTAAATACTAATTTTAAACATAACAATAAAGACAAATATGTTTCATACAAGTGCAATGGAACATAGAAAAAAAAATGTTTTGTGTCAGATGTCCGTGATGATATTATATTTTTTTTTATTGGTTGACGTCAGCAGAGTTGAGTGATTACCACCAGAGTTTTGTATCAATCTGAGCCGCAAATAAGCACTGATTCTACTTTAATGGTAACTACGAGTGTCTGCTCATGTTAACCTAAGAGAAAATATTATAGGATTGTATATTTATCGCATGCACAGGGGATTTTCTAGAAAAAAAAGGGAGCACTGCATGCAATTCAGCAGCGCCACCAAGTGGGGGAGATAGGGTTTTCCCTACCAGGATGTGGAGTTTTGGATAATTATAAATTAAAATGTAGCATTCTATGGCTTTCTTGGGGCCAAAATTACTATCAGACAGGCCACAGTTGAAGACTGTGGCCACATGTGTTCCCTGGTCAATCAGAATTTTATGGTTTATGGCCATGGCATGAGGGCGCTGCGCCCATGTTCCCTTGTTTAAAAAAATCCCTGCATGCATATTACTACAAACTTTTAAATGTTGGAGTGATGAAAGTGGAACTAAATACAAATATATCATTGTGCACACCTAGTATGCTAATTTTGTTGGCAATCCTGTTCTATTTCATGTGAACATCTTATATACACTGTGTGGTAATTCTACTCTGTTGTGATACTTGCTCCAAATCGTATGGAATTTTGTTATTTTAATAATTTTTATTTTTCGGGTGGGGGGACTGGATAAATTTAGAAACTACACACAAAAGCTTCCCTAAGTAAATCATTTTTACTCTAGCTAAGATTTGTAGTTATTAGACTATATACAAACCTCGAAGCTCCAAACAATCTTTAGACAGTATGTGATGTCAAACTATGTGATATGCATTTCTGATCCGTCTGTATTAGCTAGGTCACACTGTGAAGATATACATGTTTTGCATGTAGTAATATGAGGTTATTAGGAGGATACCTCAAAGTATGCATGAAGACATTACAGCAGGAGTATCGACCGACGCACAGCATACTTTGAGGTATACTTTGAGTGCATACTTTGAGGTATTCTTGTAATAATCTTATTATTATACACCTTCCTTCCAAGGATACATCATGGGAATGCCGAAATTCAAAAAGTTTACAACAGAATCAGCGAACTTCTTTGTGTGGAGTCCGGTCAAACCCCGGTGGCAGCCATGCTTGTTTTCATTATTAGAGAACACTTACGCACACAATGATTCCAAATTTGGAATTAGCATTTCCTTATATGGTAGGATAAAAATACCCTGTAAAATACCACAAAATTACGGCACGTTGTAACTTATGGCATTACGGAGACAGATGTATAATAATAAATATATACATGTACTTCTTTCAGGTGTGATGCCCTATTCTGTTCCATTCTCACAGTCCAATCTTGTACATTTAGTTGGCCCATCGGATTGTGCAGTACACGGATACTGTAAAGGTGGTGTGACTATGAAGCTAATGGATGAATGCGCTGGTATTGTTGCATGTAGACATTGCAGAACTCAAGTTGTAACTGCTTCACTTGATGTGACAAACTTTCATAAACCTGTCAAGAAAGGTAAATATAGTTGTTATGTAATTATATTGGGACGACACTGCTAAGTATGCACAAAAGAAAGTTGGAATATTAAACAATGTTGTTGAATGCAAATCAAATGACTATATGCTGTCTTGTGTGATTTCCGCATGATATCTTTCTTTTGGTGTCACTGCCGGTGGTATGCAGACAAATATTTTTCACAATGCAAATCTTTCCAGGAACACACGTCTTGGAACTTTATGCCACACTTAATCACTTCCTACTTGAAATTAACATTTGAGGTACAAATATCTCTGTCATTACCACAATAATACTTTGTGTGCAAAGCACGCAATGAGAGTCTTATGTGTGTATGTAAGCATTTGTCTTATAAACAAACCTACCCCGAGTTATGGGGGAACCAGAATTGTCTTGACCCCCACTCTATTTATTGTGGTTATTTGAAGACATTACACTCTTTCTATCATACTAAACTGGTCACCAAATTTGTGTTTCTGCTTTTTACCAATGCTGGCATGAGCGTTGGCAAGCCTACGCAGGTTTCAAGTATACAGCGCCACCAATGGCTGTTCCTGGATCCATGAGTCGAGTGATGACCCTCAGTATTTTTCATAATTTATATTAATATTTAATTGAATTTAGTCAAGTTTGCATAGCTTAAAGTTACTAACCCTAAGCTTTGCAAACATTTCTATGTTAAGTAACAGGATATATGATGTTATTCCTACTTTCTACTTTCTACTACTTTGAATTAAAATGCAATTAGAATGCTAGATTCAGATTAACCATATTATATTAATAATTAAGATGATCTAGTTGTTCCATATAAAACCATGATTTGCTACATTTTCTGACAACCTCACTTCCTCCATTATTTCATAAAAATTATTAATAATCATTAGAATGTCCAAATAATTTATATAACTACATATAATTTGTAATTTTGAGATATGGTGAGATATATCAATCAAAAATATAAATCAATGAAAAAAAAAATTACAAAACTCATTATTTTCATGAATGTTTGGTTTGACCTTTGTGTGAAAATTAGTTTGGTGACCACACATATTATCTAGCTTTTGTAAAAAACAGCATATAATAAATTCACAGTGTAAATGTTAAGACAATTAACAATCAGATCATTTGTTTTAAGGGGAGCAAACTACCATATAGTATGTAGTATATTACAGCAGGGTGAACATTTGACTAAATTCAAACACTGAGGGCACTGTCATTATATACTGCTACTCTACAGATGCAGAAATTTCACTAAACTTCTTAATACATGAGAGCACATTGATGTGATTGAATGCCTGAGAGTGTAGCAAAAAGGTTGTTCTTGTACCACATGTACTGTATTTAAAGACAATGGTGACATGTGTAATCTAATATTTATTAATTTCGACTTCATGTCATGACTGAAGTCAATGTGAGTTCTGCTGTTCTTATTTGAACTGATCCAATTTGAAACCGCATAATCGCCATCAAAGGTACAGTTTTTGAATCAGCAGTTTTGTGGACAATCACAACTGTACATGGTAACCACAAAAGATACCAAAAGCAATTGTCATCATAAACAGGTGGTTGATATATAAAAGTTGATACCCTAATTCATGAATACATGACAATAATTGGTCAAAAAACATTTGTAGATGGAGAATAAAAAAAAAAAATCCTGTTTCTTTTTTATAACTTGAAAATGCCAATGTATACACTAGGTGTAATACACTAAACATGTAATCAAATACAATTATTTTGGCTTTTATACACAGGTATAACCAAACCATTGCCAAAAGAGCAATCACTGGTCACATTAGACAGGTCCCCTTTATACAGGTCATTTTTCATGTAAATTGCTTTTGAAGTTGTTCCGTTGGGCAGGTGGACAATATACAAAAGTTGTCATGAATACTGGTTTTACTGTACTATATATTGAAGGAACAGCAAACTGACTGAGATTGACTTTGTTGAATTGATAGCCATTTTGTCTAAAAATCTGAATCACAATTTATAAACAGGGTGATTTTTTTTTTTCAAACTTTTTATCATGATCATGGATATTTACAGGTGCATGTCGTATTTTTATTTTGAGATTCAATTCTAATATATAAGTTTGCATACAATGGTCATTTTCTCTAAAATTTTAAAATTGCAGTCTTTCTTTTTCTGAGTGTGTGTATAGCACATATATGATATTTTGTCAAGTTATGACATCAACCTGTATCTACACTTGTGGATTACAGGTAGCGTACTGTCTCTGACTGGTATACCAACATTCACAAGCAATAAATCTATGGAGATCGAAGTATTGGTAGATGTGGAATACATCTTTGGTGGTGAAACACACAAAGACCGAGCTGTCAATGCATTCTTTACATTTGTGTCTTTGGGACCTGGCAGAAAAACACAACAAATACCTGCATTAAAGGTAATACACTACATTAAATTTAAATCAGTTAGTCACATAGGGGTCATTATTATCTACCTGGCAGTGAAAATTTGTGTCATAGAGACTTGGCAGAAAAACACAACAAATACCTGCATTAAAGGTAATACACTACATTATATTTAAATCAGTTAGTCACATAGAGGAGCATTATTATCTACCTGGCAGTGAAAATTTGTGTCATAGAGGCTTGGCAGAAAAACACAACAAATACCTGCATTAAAGGTACTACACAACATTATATTTAAATCAGTTAGTCACATAGAGGGGCATTATTATCTACCTGGCAATGAAAATTTGTGTCATAGAGACTTGGCAGAAAAACATAATAAATACCTGCATTAAAGGTAATACATTACGTTATTATACATCTGTCACAGTAATGCCATAAGTTACAGCGTGCCGTAATTTTGCGATAATTTACGGGGTATTTTCATCCTACCATATAAGGAGATCTAAATTCTAAATATGGAATGATTACGCGTGTAAGATGTATAAAAATAAGGTTATTACGAAAATACCTCAAAGTATGCACTCAGACAGCACACCGTGCATCCACCTCCGCTGCGTGTCGGTCGATACTCCAGCTGTACTGTCTTCGTGCATACTTTAAAGTATTCTCGTAATAACCTCATATTATATTTAAATCGGTTAGTCACATAAGGGTCATTAGCAGTGAAAATTTTTGTCCTTGAGACCAATAAAACACAAAGAAATGCATTAAATTAAATTCAAATCAGTTAGTTGCATAGGTCATTATTACCTACCTGGCAGCGACAATTGTACAATTCGGCCATTCATGAAAACCCTGTACAGTCGTGTTCAAAACATGTTACAGACGTGTATGAATATATTATTGATGTCTTCCTTACTTGGAAAATGTGCATTATTATTTTCACATCTAATGCAGCAACAGTGTAGTACATGACTGATATTTGAATCACATCACTGAACACAAAAACTATGACAAAAGCATGAGCCTTAGAAAAAACACACACTTCAATGGTATTTCAAGCTGTTAAATAACTAAGACTACAGTCTGGGAAAGGAGTATAATAATAAGTTTATCACAAAAATAAATTATGCACTTATGTAGTATGGGCTTGCATCAGTGTCTGCTACATGTTGGTTGATTCAGTCACCATTCTGTTCTCATGCATCTCCATAGAACTTCATATATTAAATTGTATGTATAATTTATTTTGATGATAGACACACCTCTGTCATTTATGTGCGAACATGTGTTCTACTAATATAACAAAAACTGTATTGTTATATGGAAAGCTATTCAATGCATGATACCTGTATAATACAATTATATAATATTTATTTTTGTTTCTAATGCCTAAAGGTACATACTCAAGGTGAGAAACTACGTTTTCAAGAAGGAAAGAAACGTTATGAGGCAAGAAAAGCAATTAGAATGAAAGCAAGACATCAAGCGTCTGAGCGACCAGTGATACAGCAGACAATGTAGTGGATGCCTTTATGTACTATTATCCGATTATATTTTAAACATTGGCTTAAACGGTGGTGGTCATCGTGACTGGGTACCATATGACATATAGCAATAAGTATGTGAGTCAAGTGTGTTGTTTGTTATTCCCCCATCAGACATGGTCAGAAAAAGTGGACTTATGTAGGGGATTCTGTTCAATGTCATTTATCAGACATGCCTGATAAATTGTATTCAATGTTGGTCAAAACCCACTCAAAATATTGTCAATTTTTAAATACTTCTAGACATCAAAAAGTACCGTGTAAGACATCAAAAATCATTTTGTAAAACTTCGTATAACATTCTCCACACATGTCACCAAACACAATTTTGAGATATTGAGGTATATCCTCAATTGAGGTAAATGTCTAAACCAGAAAAAAAAAACATAGTATTTTCACTGTATTTTATTGATAGATTTTCCTCAAACTGAGAATGATGACCCCTTATTTTTATTTCGTTGATATATCAAATATATAAAAATATCTAATAATACTTTTGTGTAGCATATTCTACCTCAATGTTTAAGTGGGAATTGAGTTCCAAGCAACGATTACAACGCATGCTGAAAACAAAAGTCTCATCGGGTTGTATAATAGCTTGAGAAATGAAACTAGTCTCCATGGATCTGTGTACACTGATGATTATCAAATCAGGATATGTATCAACATAATATCACTAGATTGGTTGTATGTACATGAGAAATTACTTATTTAAAAAGTGTGTATAACCTACACACTGCAAAGACCCTGATCAGACAAAATCAATTTGATCAGATTAAATAAACTATATGTTCAATTCCTGAGATTAATCTGATGGCACCAGACCACATTGTATAACTGAACAGATGTCTTCTTCTTGAAATAAAAACTGGTGTAATATATTCCATATTTATTTAAGCAATTTCGTGTTTGTTAAATTTGGATCCATATTTAATGGAAAGAGCTCAATAAATTGAATTTAAATGTTTTACTTTATCACTACAAACAATTACTTTTGTTTATTTCCTATGAAAGACCACAATTGCGCGTTGTCTGTGACGCCAAATATTCAAAGTACGCATGTCCATTTAATCATTGTAAGAACGCATTCACTTTGGGGGGGGGGGGCAATGCTTTGTGGCGTAACGAGGATCGCATCTGCTTATAGTGGCGTGGCGCATTTTTCGAGTTGTGAATTTGAATCTCGTGTTCCATTTGTACATGGTTGTAAATTTAGATTGCAATAATTTGAGATTACCTGCAAAGCAAAATATTTGAATTACCGATCTTGTGTCTTGGATACATTTAAAAATTACGCAACATAAACATTTTAATATTTTTTTCTCGAGAATGTACACCATGTGCATATATCAAGAATAAAATGATAAATTTAGCTTGAAATGTTTACTTTTCTATTGTAAACTTGTACAGTCCGTTGTTTATATAACCACATTACCTAATACCTATTAACATTCAGAAAAATAGTGATTGGCGTGTTGAATAATTGAGTCGTGCTTTAGAATTACTCATATCATATAACTCTCAATACCTTACATTAAATTTCCATTAAAGTGTGCATTCCTTAATTCGATTATTCGCCTTTACAATTAGCCAATACGATTGCTTTCGAATGACGTAATTTATTCAATGTAAATTGTATTTAATGTGTATCAACATGTCCGGGCATAAATCAGCGATACCCCGTTCCCATTCATTTTTCATTTGCATATCAAATGATGGCAAAACGTCATGTTTATATTTTAAATTGCCCCAATTAATGGAACCAAATACTTTCACACATTTTAAATCGGACTGCATTTCTGATGTACATTATACGGTCGTCGGTTCAATATTTTATTCGAATCGCAACAATCAAAGTATGGTCTTAATGCATTAAATTAAATTGATAACTACGGAAAATTGATATATTTAATCAATAATATCATTAGTCAAGTATCATTATGTAATTTTTTAGGGCTTGTCTAAAGATATTCAAAACATCCGACTGATGAATTTCATACAAAATACCCTCATATGGATCGTTGCCAGAAAGTTGATTGAAATACAATATAGTCGTATCGGATAAACGATTTTTTGAAATGATACTCTGGCGTTTACTATTTAATGGGAGCTGGAATACATTACGAATGTGACAGTGAATATAACTGTCGGGAAAGAATCTCGTTGATTGAAGTTGCTGGTTAGAGCAGCCAGGCTCAACGTTGTAATAAATGACCATTTTGAAGAACGAAGCATTATCTTGTATCTTGCAAATGAGGGCTAAAAATATACTTTAATATGTATTAGGATATTCATTTATATGATTATGTATTATACAGTATTATATGATTAGGACTTACCATAGCAAATAAGTCGACCCTTTTGTGAATTCGTTCGATCGAAGTCGGTCGTGTCGTATAAACACACAATGAAACTTTATTTCAATATATAAAATTTGGATTTGCGCGCCTATAAATCCAATAACGATGAATTTGTCGCATACTCTGGTATGATCATGTGGGCTTGTAGAATGAAACAAGGAACGACCACAGCCGATGTATTGACTCAGAATGCGATTTGTATAAATTACAATAGATTTTAAATATGAGTAAAATACCGTCGTTTTCAAATCACTGAAATGAATGGACGCAAAGCGTGACCCACTGCATCATTGTTCCGAGGCAATAGAATGCGACCTATATCAGACTGTCTTGAACATCATAGTCGTAAATCTTCTTTAATCTTTGAGAAATCTGTACATTGCCCAAGGTTTTAAGTGTTCAAAATTTATAGTAAGTATTTTGTCAACATTGCATCAGTAACGTTACATTTCATATGGAAGAACAACCAGCACAATCAAATAAATGATACAACAGAATAAAACCAAGGCAAATCTGTACTGTAATAAGTTCTCAAGTCAAATAAAAAATACATTCCCCACTCCCCCCGCAATTTTCAGACTCACTCAACGAAGCTATCAGAACACATTCAACACGGCATCTGATTATAGCGCTTACTAGGGTACAAATAAATCATCCAACCTTTAGCCGAAGCTCCAAATTAGCCGACTCTAAAAACTCGTTATCAGCACTTATGGTCATCGACGATCACCTTACTCGTTTTTATTAGAATCACTTAGGAATCGTGGTTAGTCGGATTCGTATTCTTCATACTAAACAGTTTTCAAAATATGGTTTTCGTTGAAACTGATATTCGCAGTTTTGATTTAATTAGTTTCAATATTTGCAAATTATGATCCAATGTTATAGTTTCAATCAGACGGGTTGGGAATGGACAAATTCCACGTGTGATAACTTTGGATTATAAAATAAAATACTTGTTTCAGTATCACGTGATGGTTTGTCCGAGTACGTCTCGCAATCTGCAGATTCGTTCTCAGCCAGTTTAGTATTAATTACTCGTATTTTCTTTCAAATTGCAATCGATTGCACCACTGCATGACAGGTAAATATTGGATTTCAACACCGAGAAATCTTGAAAAATGTTGTTTTGTTTGCATGTACAATGCAGTGATCGTGCTCGTCATTACCCAACTTCGAAAAATCTTGTAAACATGCTAACAGAATAGGACAGCATACCGCGTGCATCAGATACCCGCAAATGATATATGTGATATGTAAACTCATAGTTGCTGTCGACATAGGAAGTAAA